TTTCAGAAATTGTGTTCAGCTATGAAGTGAATTGCTTGTGACAAACCGTACAATTGGAAGGACAAAGATCGGATGGGTCCACAGCTGGATGGGTTCACAGTTGCATGGGTTCATGTCGCATATCCGCGGGTCTATGGCTTAATGGGTCGGAAGTAATTGCGAACGGCACTTCAGTGACCTATCTTCTGTCGTTAATCGATTCTCCTTACTTTTAGGGCTTCCTAACTTGAACATGGTATACAAAGGGCAGCTAAAATTAATTGACTTCGTGAGAGTCAGTCTAATGATCTCCATAACGAAGTCATTAGACTGAAATCCATGTGCAGTGACTTCTTCCCCCATCTGATGGCAAATCGGTGCAATTACTCTGAGACTGTCCTTGGACGAAAATCGACATCCCGGCGCACTCCATAAACCTACAAATCAGTAGGAACAGGAAAAGCATTACTCGTCTCTATTCTCTTTTCCCTCTTTCTTCTTCTCTACGCATTTGCAGCGAGGAGTACCGATTTCTCCCAAGCGGAAATAATATTTTTGCCGGCTTCGCGCATCATCAAAATTTCCCTCTTTTTTCGACACGTAGGGTTATCGGATTAATCGGCAGTTCTTTGAGCTAGTCATGCAGCTTCCTTGGAACGTTTTGGGCAAATTTTTTTTAGAGATTTCAAAGCAATCGTGAGAATTTCGGACGTCAGGAACGAAAATTCATCGAATTGGTCCAATCTGTATGTTGCACTATATTATCCATCAACGATGCTTCCGTATCACCGTATCATCATTCTATTCATTAGATAGGAATTAGCTGGATTCTTATACTTGCAATCCTAAAGGGAAAGTAAATATATTGTCATAATATGTTGGAATGACGATGTGTGATTCAATAACCACCACGTCTCGCATTTTCAATCGGTCCTATAAAAGGTGAAAAATACGTGGCAGTACTGCAAACCCAGTCGGCACAGCCACGTTGTGTCAACGTTGAGAAAGGTTGAAACGTTGAGACTTGGTTGAAGAATCGACATCAATGAAATGCTGGCTATTCGTAATTAACAGTATTTGCAGCTTATTGTGACTACCCGTGGATTAGCCGACTATTAAGCGCAAATCACAAATGATGAAGAACGAATTTGCGCTTAATAGCCACTAAACGCCTTTGCTAATCCACGACTGGGAAGCAATGGCAAACATGAGGCAGAATTCCACTCAATCACACGAATGATGGATATTTCACTTACGAGTCAGTACTACTGAACGTGAAACCTCTGATTTTGTCATTCTTGGTGGTGCGAATTCCTGATAGCTGTGAAAAGTAGAACTGACCTCATGTGGAGTTCTCATGTGAAACGGGGAAAGAGAATTTTCCGGGGATTTGGTTCCGGAGATACAGAATACCGATAATCTGATTGCAAGAAACAGCAAGTGATCGTTTCTCCAATCCCCTTCAGGGAACATACAGGAGCAGAGTCCTTGGGATCCGCAAGATTGCCATAGCGAACTGAATCATCGGCCTGGTGGATTGTTCAAACACACATTTGGACTGTCTTGGACGATGAGGCATATTTTTCACCCCTGTCTCTGGAGACACAAGACGGGAGAAGACAAGTGGGTAGAACAGGGACCTTGTTCCATCTCCACCCATTCCAGAGGTTCTCTCAAGTCGCACTAGATATCTCTCGTGAGAGAATCCGGATGTCGTCCATAAGTTGACGCTTAGTAAAGGAACTCATCCATCTCCATCTCCATTTCCACTTCAAGCCTCCTGAAAACTGGATGCTTTGACTAAAAGTTTCTCGAGGGAAGAAGACAAAGTGAGTGCTTCCACTTGGGCAGCAATCGAGTGACGAGTTCACATGACAACAAGCTGCTCTGGATAGGATCTACTCTTCGGCTTCTTATCTTGAACGTCCTTTTTGCTATCAAAGGACCACGGTATCAGAAACCATCTGCTTCGTCGACTGAGCAACGATCATGAAGTGGAGGGAATTGGAGCGGTCGTGAGAAGAAAGCGGCCTCGGGGTCGATAGCAGAGGGGGAACGTTCCATAGCTGAACTCACTCAGTGATTCCACTCGGGAATGTTTGCACTCGTCGCTGACATGAATACGCATAAGCTTCATGAAAGCTTCACGAATTCATCGATTCCATAAAGACAACTTCGCCTATCGAAACCTTTCAGGGACTTAAACGCATCAGAAAGTTGCATACACTCCAACTTAAAATTCCGGTCTTGGTAACTACAGAAAGTATTTTTTGCTGGGATACGGCGACCTTCCCCCCCCTCCCCTCCGTCCAGAGGGATTGTGAGAACGAAACGGACACTTTGGATGTCGGAACCGATTTTTCGATTTCTTTGTAATTTCACGCTCCTGGAGCTGGCTTTCAACTTCAGCATCCAAAATTAACAAATAAATTCTTCTTTATTTTGCATTGTGAGAGAGGATACCTCTAGCCATATGTTTTCGCAGTGTGCTTTCCCATATCGACCTGGCATTATGGAGCTGTTGTATGCCTCTGATCTGTTAAAAAGTGCCAGTTACATTCCATTCTTGGATATATGACCAGTATATTCAAGACTTCAAGCGACAAAGGTTCCATAATTTACGGAAGTAGGGAATCCCCTCGAGGTGCCGTATTCATACATTTCTCTTTTGCTGGAGAATCCAGTGACATACAGCGAGACATACCTCAATAGACCTCCAAGGTCGCGCATTTTGGTTCGTTGACTTATTTGCCCGGAGAAAAACCCCCCCGAGAAATGCGTAACCTTATCTGTCAGCTGAAGTGGACAAGCATTTTTATTTGATATGAATGAAAGGATGTGAGGAGTGCTTATGTACAGATGAGGGGCAAAGGTCCCCAGCCGAAGTCACGTCTGACTTGAGGCATTTCTTCCTTCACGCGTTGTCTCTCTATGGAGAAGACCAACCGCATGAGTGGCTTACATGCAGTCGGCATGGAGGATAGGAGTATTCTTCCTTCCCTTCTAGCCTCCTTGAGTAATAGTTATGTCTCTTGATATACATTATCATGTGTATCCAGCATTTAAAATCTCCATTCCGCTTATAAGCACAGCCTATTTGAAATTATTGCTTCGGAATTTCTCGGACTTTCACTGTGCACTGATGTCGATGCCGGGTAGTCGAAGTCTCTTCATGGGCGTAGGAATCTATCTTGGTCATGGGGCCAAATCCACCGTCCTGCACTACTATCTCGTTTCATTTCAGGTCCATAGGATTAATTTCCTTTCACATTCCATGGAAAAATGGCAATTTGAAGAAGACAACTTCTAGTCCAGAATTGTGTCCCCTATAAACAGGGAAATATAGAGGGAAATTGAATCATTTCATGTTGTTTGTTCAATGATACAACAATAATGATTTATTTCGCCCGAACACCATCTAATGCATGGGTGTATCACTTGAATCGGAAGACGGGGTAAGAGATAATAGACAATGATGATGGAAAGAAAAATGAAGATAAGGGGGGGGGGGGAATGCTGTGGACTGGCAGTTGGCCAAGGAGAGACTGAATCGAAGGACTTCCCGCCGAAACGATGAATCTTTCAAAACTTCTCACAAACAAAAGCGAGGATTCTAGTGGATGCCATTTGCATTCACCATTCACTTCCAGGGCCTGACCTATCATCCCATGTAGTCCCCAGGGAGTCTTAATTGAGTCCCTTGATTTCTCCCCTGTCCTTCGCATCCAGTATGTCTTTGCCAAACGTTGCATGCGTTTTACTTGCATGTCACTAAGACGCACAAGTATTGACATAAGCAGGCGTTCCCAAAGCCTCTTCGCAAGCATTTATTATCAACAAAACGCATCACGACTAATTATCATATGTAAACAAATTCGTAGCTTATTAATTACGGCAAGGCCAGAGTGAATTCAGAACTCAAAATACGAAATTATCTTCGGTATGTTCGTGATGACAAAATCTCGTACTATTTTCGCCCAGTGCGATGAATATAAAGGAGCTGAGATGGTAGTTTGATACATTTTTATTAGCGCGATCAGATCGTTGTCGCCGTTGTCTCACTTGGGATTGCATATAGTTTTTTTTTCAGTTCCCTTCTCTTGGTAATTTAAAAAAAATATGGGCGAAACCCGATATATAAGCGAACCTCCTTTGAGTGTACCATCATAGATGATACAAATGAAATAAGGGCAGATATGATGTAAGAATATAGAAAAAATGCATTGACACAATGTACGAGTGAATTGTTGACGTTTGGTGTCAGGCGTGCAGGAGGCATCATCATACATTCTTCTATATGAGTTAATGAATGTTACAATAATGTAGCTCTAAAAAAACGTTTCAAAATACAAGAGGTGACAAATTTATCACACTTGTAAATCATGGGGGGGAGGGGGGAAATGAAGGTTGGAGAGGGACCAATCCCGTAAACGTTGACGAAGGCTTCGCGCTGACATTGACAAAAAGAAACAGACAGCCGGGCGATTCCCTACGGTGCCCCATTTCTTCTGTAAAGAATTGCGATTCGTGAATCTAAGAAACGAAAGGAGGAGTCTCGCTAGAAAATAAAAAAATGAGAATTTTCGGAGATTCCATTTTCTTTTCTAATTTGGGAACGTCTCTTTTTCACAAGGACTCTTCGGATGGGAAGGAATGTCCTGTCGTGGGATGGAGGAGGAGGAGGAGGAGAGGAGGAAGAATCCTGCGCGGATGGAAGGGGGGAGGGAAATGATTAGAGGAAGACTGTGACAATGCGCTCAGTGTCACGCCGGACGCCCACCATGACCCCTGTGAACTCCTTCGATGGCTTCGGCGACAACTGCAAGGAAGTTCTAAATGCGACTCTGCTGGACTACGAGAATAATTCCTCGGAATGGAACTCATCATGGTTGAACTCATCAGGGTTGAACTCATCAGAGTTGAACTCATCGGGTGAAATCTCGCCCCAATATTGGAAACAGACGGAAGCTGTAGGGGCCCTCTATTGCTTTGCATATGGCCTCGTGTTCGTGTTGGGCCTGGTCGGCAACGTCCTGGTCATCCTCGTCGTTGCCCTCAACCGCAACATGAGGACAGTACCGAATCTATTCATCATGAACTTGGCTGTGGCAGATCTCCTCGTCCTCGTCGTCTGCCTCCCGTCCAACCTCATGACCACTCTTTTCGACCGTGAGTTCTTCAATATATCACAACAATAGCATGTGTTCGTAAGACTCCCACTTATTGATCAATTACATTTAATCCGTTCAACGATTATTTTGCCATTTATTCGCAAGCCAAGCATATTTCTTTTTCACGAGATTTTGTTCAAGTTACCAGATTGGCCAACTCGTGAATTCTTCGTTATCTACTCTTAGTAGCACATGAAAGCAGTGTTTTAGAATCACAATTTGCTTATATACATGTCCAAATTGTGTATCTGAAACACTATTCAGTATGTGTATCCGTGGCAGAGAAATTGTATGTAATGTTACAAAATGCATTTGAGTGATGCACATAACGTCAATGATCAAACCAGACTCTTATTATGTACTCCTGGTACACAATTTTATTGATTTTTAATCAACAAGCGACATACCACTGATAGATATATCTATCGGTAACGACATTCGTTTTTACAGTGTGTTTTTTTATTATGAACAATATCAACTCAGTTAAATTAAATCTCATATAGGAGCCTATTGTAAATTTAAATAGGCTCTTATTTTAAATAAAAATTTTAATTTAAATAAATTCAAGTTTAATCGATCAGATGCATATCACCACACCAAGCATTTCTATGATTCATTAAGCAAAGCAACCCAGAAAGCACTGGCACTAAGATTTTTGAAAGGTAAACTGATATCCCTTTACTGAACACAGCATAGCTAATTGACTAAAATTACCCTGAATTTCTTGAATATGGGCACGTATCCCATTCACGGAAATCGTTCTACTGCCCCCTCAAATTTCTTTGCTGAGAAAAGAGCAAATAATAAGTAATGGATTTCGCAAACAAGGATTAGCATAAAACACCTGAACAGCCATTGCATCCCGGGCAATACTGCTTATTCTCTCAGGTTGTCTGGAGACGATATTCATGGTCTCGTACCTTGTATTATGTGAATGTGTCAAAAGTATTGGATACTATGGTCATTCCTCCCTGAATCAGCCAGAAGGTGAGCTCGACCACCGGTAATTTTGGGGAAAGCCGGGAGAGGTCTAGAACATTTCACTTTAAAAAACTATGTTCAACCATTTCCTTAAATATCTCGCACCGGAATATCTTTTTTTTGGTGTCCTACGCCAATTCGGACCAGAACTGTGGAAATGCTTTAGCAATAACTTCTCTCCTAATTTAGATAATAGTTATATTCTGGTGTAATTTTAATTGAAAACCCCTCTTCCAATGGTATTAAACGTAAGGCAAATTCCACACGATCAGTTCGACCAACTTCAGTGACCGATATCAACACTTGATACTTCAAGAACTTGAAGTTATAATAATTCATGTAAAGACACATTTTATGCGCTTTCCAACGATGCAAAATTCAAGATTGAAACTAAATTGCTTCATAAAGGATGTCCTTTAGACAGCAGCAGCAGTGCCAAAATGGCAGCCTGGCCGAACCACTTTTACCAATATCCACACTTTACCCTCGAAATTTCCAAAATTTGTGCATCTTATTTAAAGCTCTTTCCGAGCATTGTTAAACAAAAAACCAATCTCGAGAATGGTACTACTGCTTTCGAAATGTCTTCAAGAAACCGCGTCAATGAAAATTTGATTCAAAGGTCCCAAGTGGCACCCATTCGAGTCTCTTCCGTGCATTTCATGAACCTCCGTTCATGAATTTTTTGCAGAGATCAAATCTATAATTGAGTCTCCGGGGAACTTGTAGCACAGTCTAGAGGATGTGTCTGGAATAGGGTCAGGACATGTTCAAGTATGACTACATCTCTCCTCATTTTTTGTCCATCTGTACTCCTCCGCTGCAGCATAATTACACTGTGATGTCTTTAAGGCCCAAGACTTAAAAAAAAAAAACAGTCCCCATCTTCTTTGTATTCCATAACCACAAATTGTCTGCGAGGTTCTCCGGGAATTCATTGGGGGTGTCATTCTCGTAAATGTCCTTCACACCTTCACATCAGAAGTATCTGTGAGAGTACCTCTGCACGGTTTGTGAGGCACTGTTGACTGAGATGAAGGTATGAACACTACATGTTCCGCGAGTGGTGCTTCATCAAGGAATTGATGAAGGACTCCTTCTCCCCTCCTGGCAATTTCTTCCTGCTAATAAGATTTTGACGTTCTCAATTGATTTTGCTCCCCTTGAAAAGATGCATAATTCAGAGGAAAAATCGCGCCCCCTTTTTTAATTTTTACATCTGAAATCGTTCATTGATCAGTGATGTATGTTCCGAGATGTACGTATCTTCGACTTGTCTTCCATATGAACATTTTAAAATTAATTTTCCCCTTCTGGTATAGCCACTGAAGCATTTTGAAGGTTGCGAGTAAACGAGTAATCCCCGCTTGTTGTGAGCCTCCCGCCGAAAAAGGGAAGTCAGTACCCTTGATCACTATCGTGTCAGTGGTGAGCATGCTGTTCTCTAAGGCAGACACAACAGGATTGAAACAATTTTCTGAGTGAAAATTTTCACTGGCTTTTTTATTTATTTAAAGACTTCAATTGAAATCGCAACTCAATACTGTTGTCCAGAGGCAACATTGTCCCATCGTGCATCAAGTCTCCTTGGACTCTCGGGGATTTCCAAATATTTTACCAGCGAACTTCAAAGTGCCCGTTTGGCTAAACCACCCTAGAGAAAATTCTGAAAAAATTGTTAATGATGGAAAACATGTAGATGTTGACCTGTTGAGATGTGCACAGCAGTAGCTTTTGCCGTTTTTCAGATGTAAACATTCCTACAGCGGCGCATATTTTTCTCCACACCAAGTATCTTATGTCATCAGGATTTGCTCATGTAGATGTCATTGGAGACATTCCCTATGACTAGTCTCGTCCTGGTATCTCCATTTTCTCTGCGTATATGTGCCTCTTCAACGCTTCATGACAGACAAAAAAAAAACATTCTGCTGGAAGTTCGAAGTATTCATTTATGTTTCACAAATACGCTGGTCCCAATTGAAATTGCAACACCAAGAAGAAGGGCGATATTGATGAAAATTAGTGCATGAACTACATGAAATCGACTTGGAGTTCCAAGGGGGTAGGATTATTTTTCTCTTTGAGAACATGGCAAGCGCTACAATTTGAAGGGGGTGGGGGTCTCATTAATCCCCCAATAGGAAACACCCAGAATGAGTTTCTTAATGACACGGGACCGGTAATCGTCTAGATGAATTCCGTAGTGTCAAGGTGACCTTGACCATTTCTATAAAAACTTGCCGAATGTCTGAGGAATGCGGGAAATGGTGGTTCGTTGATAACACCGGCTGCTTCTTTTGCTTCTCTCAAGCCAATTCACTGATGCGCCATTTTTTAGTGTTTAGCTTTTAGACCGTGCCAAGGTGATGTGCGCTCAAATGATGGGGACAGGTCTTTGCGGGCATCAAGTCGAAAACGTTTTCAATGTGACTTCTGCGGCGCTGGTGAACCCAGTATCGGAATGAGAGCAACCATTAACGGCAGCGAGGCTCAGCGGTAACCTCGCATGACGACGACTTGGAAAGATGAGCAAGGTCAATTTGAGGAAATTAAACATTCAGCACATGGCGAGGAGGCCAAAGGGAAAAAAGAGGGAAATGGCGTCGTCAGTGAATCCTCCCTGTCCGTATTCTGTTTGCGGTATCAACCTGATCAGCCTGACACGTGTTAAACATCCCACGTAGGGATGACGCAAATCGATCAATCAATCAATCCCAAATCAATCTGATGCATCATTTAGTGCATCAGGACGATACATTCATCCAATAAACCGAAGTCTATGAAACACTCAAACATACTGAGGGAGTTTGGAGACGTAGTCTCAACACGACTTCACAATCAAACGCTTCAGAACGGAGAAATCTCTTGAGGGAAGAAGAAAATGAAAATGGCGTTTTCAGTAGAGTTTCTTTTTCTCCATTCCTCGATTGTTCAGGTTTTCTCAGTATGGCTTCGTCCTATGGTATTGAAACTTTCCTTAATACTATTTACACTTCCTACTCTACATTTCGATTCTTTAGCCTATTGGTATGACCTGCCCTCTACATGAGGGTGCTTAGCGAGTTTTCTCTGAGAAGAATCATTCCACCCTCTTGAAACTCTAACGTTAGTCGGTTTCATGACACAGAAGGAGTTCGTGTCCCAAAGTCATCAATATCGCCCAGATTCTTGGTGCCGTAATTCCTATTCCGGCCAATGTAGACCACGTTTTTGTAATGCCTGCATTGAGCTGAAACAGCCGTTGCGATCTCGACAGATTGAAAGTTCTGAAGCTACGTGATTTGGAAGAAAAACCTATTGGAGGCACTGTTTGAGAAGTAGAATATACAGGGTGGGCCATAAAAAAAAAACAAAGCTGTCGTATTTAGTGAGCTGTCAACCTGATTGTAGGCAGCCAATTCTGATGAAAATTGGTAGGCGTATAGGTTGACTCAATTAGGATTAGTGTGCCAAGTTTCAAATCAAAATTCCACAAACTGTGAGAATGGTATTTAATTTACAGTAAGTGTTCATTTTGTAAAATTTAAACCTAAAATTTCGCCACCAGATTCATCAATTATTCGGATGACATATTCAAGCCCAATCCTTGACCAATTTTTGTTTGAAAATTCACTCATTTTCCTAGCACCATATCCTTTTTCAAGTCGCAAGTTTTTAATAAGAGCAATATCTTCGTCACTTATTAGAGGCATTTTTGACAATGCGCTTTCACTTGAATTACAAGAAAATAAATTTTAAATTAATTTATGGAAAATTTGAAGTCTCGCTTACTATTCGACGAGCTAGCCTAGAATTTAAAAAGTATTTATTGTTAGTGGGTTAGCTTTAGCCTAGCATAGATTATAAACTAACTTAGCTTATTGCAGCGAGCGATCATGTAATCCATGAATACATAATCAATTTCATATCGGTATTTTGGCAGCACATTTTGTCCTGAGTCATCAGAAAATAATCACAGCTCTTATAATTTTAGAGTCAGAAGGCTGAAATTCGGCTCACAACCCCAATTGTGGC